CTTCAACAAACATAATTCATTTGTTTGTTGATTGTGGAAGAGATGCACAAAAGTCTATTTGTAACCAACTGATACACTTTCTATAGCATGTATGTTGTATTTGTTTTAAATTAAAAATTAAAAAAAATTAATTAAAAAAAAACAATTGTCACCCACCATTGTTAGGCGAAAATGAAAGTAATGAGGACATGGATTACAACACTGCAGGGAAAGGTTGATGATACAATGAAGATAATATAATTCATCAATGAAGAGATGACCTCTAATCAAGAAGTTTTTTCCGGATAAATGTATGAGGTCCGATGACAAATCATGGTGAAATCAAATGAAAAGTGAATGCTTCTGAAATCTTCCTAAATGAAAGGGTAGGGTAAGTGTAGAAATGTCTTTATGACTCATTCTCATTACGTTAAATGTTGCTTCATGTAACTTCAGAATAAGGCATATGAATATGATGTATTTCTTCCAATTATAATAATAAAAACATATTTTGTGTTAATTTTCATATGGTTTCTCATATTACAGCTCAGAAGAAATTAATGGTAGCCGAACCAGAGTTAAAAGAGTGATGAGATACATTTACTGCTAACCTATACTATTTCCAAGAGAATTGCTAATCATAATTAATCTTTCCACTTAAAAAAGCCTACATTTTGCTACAGAAAATTAGCACGTCAGACGTAAGGGTTCTAGCTAAATTTCCTGACACACTAAATTTCCACGTAAAGGAAGTACTTACATGGAGCAAATAGTCATTATGCCCTGAAAGGCAAGCCAAAAAAATCCATGAAATAATCCTGCAAGGGCTTTAATGGGTAACACACATTACAGCCCTTGGAGGTCTATCCTATGGATTTTTCTCATCCCCCCATGACAAATTTTCAACATTTCAGAACAAAATGCTTTCTTCACCTTTTCTCTGTATACAGAAAAAAAAAACCTGTTTGAAGTTATTATCCTAATAGAGGAATTTTTTTTCTACTCGGGAGTCACTGTGGCAGCTGAAGCTGCTGAATCATGGCCAGCCTGCATGCAAAACTTACTACCAGCTGCCTGCCATGCCAGCTGTTTCAAGGTGGAGACAGCCAGAGCCATCAAATCATTCCAGCGGCAGAGCAACTGTGCTAGATGCCTACTATCTGCAGATATTATAATTGGGCATCAGAAAGTTGCTTTCTAGATCCACCCGCATTACTTTTGATTCTGTGGGGCTCAATTAGAATAGCTCTGTTCTGTCACTTGATTCCTATGTATAAATCAAAAAGAAATTCAGTGTTTCAAGTGAAAACAGGCTCTTAAGCATAGAGACCCTGTGTAAGGTACTGAAAATTTTTTCTCTGAAGGAACAAGATGCATTCTCCGTCCTGAAAACCTTTGTGTCACAAAAATGTATATACATTTCTGTCTTCCTCTACCTGGCAATATATGAAAAGCATCAGTCACTTGAACATTTTGCACTTAGTCACAAAATGTGCCTATTCAAATAAACTCTCTAAAGGTCATTGTGAAAAACAACAGAAAGGGGGAAATTATCTACAAATACTTCAGACAGCTGGTAAGTATAAGTGCACCCACATCTAGGGCCATCTGTTGTAAGGGGGGGAGTTTGCTCACTAAAACAAGAAAGGCCTTGTGAGTTTAAGGAAGGAATAAAACTTTGGTGTGTGCATTAATAGCAAGAGTTATGTGTGCTATTTCTGCATATCTTAAGACCAGGGGTGGGTTTCAACCAGTTCGCGGTGGTCCCTGCGAAGCGGTTGGTCGCCGAACCCAGAAGTAAGGAACTTCTGGGAATGGCGAAGGGCGCGCCCGCCTGCCCGCAGTCCTTACCCGGTTTAGAAGAAGGGAGGGAGAAAAGAGGGAAGGAGGTAGGAAGAAAAGGGGAAGAGAGGGAAAGAGCAGAAA